TCCCTTCCCCAGCTGCTTAGGTTACCATCATTTGCTTTTCAAAGGAGAGGCCCTTCAGAAAGAAAATGATGGTAACCTACATGTTTAGTGCACTAGAACACACATTCACACAGTAGATACATCACCCGTCCACGAGCAGATGTCCATCATTACAGTCAGTGTCTGTCCACACGCCCCAGAGCTCTGCTTTACAATCCACAGCACAGCACTTATTCTGTTCAGTCAAGACAGAAATAAAGACATTATTACACATAGGCCTCTTGCATATCTCAAAAATCTAAAAAATAATTTAAATAATAGTAAATAAAAATAAATTAAGAACATAAATTGAATTCCTCAACTGCGTAAAAATATCGCAGAGTATATTATACTTAAGCAATGCTGTACCTTTAATAATCTTTTAGTTCAATCTGCTTTTCTCCCCAGTTTGCACACACTGGGTTTCAAAACGATTTAATACATAAATGCTTCAACAAAAACGTTTATCCAATCTTGTAAAGCAGCAAGGTGGTCTAGAATCACTAAATCATAGATAATAAAGAAAAACAAAAGCACAATCTAACTGTTAACAGGCCAGAGATATTTAGACTATTACTTACAGTTGGACTACAATTTCAAAAGAGACAAACAGCACGATTCCTTATTATTCAATTTTAAAATATATAACTTCCTTTTAAAGATTATAAAGATAACGCAACAACTGATTCATTTGTTATTCTGAAGGTCTGACAGGTTCAGCAGGAAAGCGGCATGTAAAAAAGGTCTGTGATAAACCTTCATGGAAGATGCGAGTGTCTGAATACATTGCTAGCAGTCCAATATCAAACATTAAAAAAACAACATAATTTTAGGTTAAAAACCTCATCAAAATTCATCTTTTGAGGCATATCTTGAATACACATATAGAAACTGAAAAAAAAACACTTTCAGACTTTCAAAGTCTTTTATAAAGTTACTTACAGGTGAGTCGCGTGACACTCGTTTCCAGCATTTTATCGGACTGTGTGTCGGTTTTGTTTGCAGTTGAGCTGAAATATGTGCTGTTAAAGTGACATTTTTAAGAACAAAATAATCTGCAGGATCTGCACGTGTTGTTGTTGTGATTGTCATCAAGCAGCGAGGAAGTCAGACTGAATGACAAACCCGCTTGTGCCGCCTTGTGGTGCGGATGGAAAATTATGTATATTGGATGGAAATTTATTTTGCGACGAAAAAAAAATAAAAAATCAGGCAGTTATATCATGCATGTTATATAGTGTGTGTGTGTGTGAATATATATATATATATATGCAGAGACATACAACTGTTACTGTGACATCAAATCACTTACATCAGAATCAGAATCAGAATCAGAATGAGCTTTATTGCCAGGTATGTTTACACATACGAGGAATTTGTTTTCGTACAGAGCTTCCACAGTGTAACAGAATGACAGTGACAGAACAAAAAACACAGATAATAAAAAAATAAAAAATAAAAAAAATAGAACAAGTAAAATAAGGAATAAAAAATATACAAATCGACAATTGTATGTACAGGTATAGAACAATAGACAGTTGTATGTACAGGTATATTATGTGCAAATTGAAATGTAGACTGAGTATGTGTGTTAGATAAATAAGTGTATGAGTGAATAAATAGTGTGTGTTCCACAGTTATTGTCAAGTGTTCATGAGAGGCCTGAGGGAAGAAACTGTGCCTGTGATGGCCTGAGGGAAGAAACTGTTCCTGTGTCTGGCCGTTCTGGTGCTCAGAGCTCTGTAGCGTCGACCAGATGGCAACAGTTCAAAGAGGGAGTGTGCTGGATGTGAGGGGTCCAGAGTGATTTTGCCAGCCCTTTTGCCCACTCTGGATGAGTACAGTTCTTGGAGAGAAGGGAGGGTTGTACCAATGATTCGCTCAGCAGTCCGGACTACCCTCTGTAGTCTTCTGAGGTCAGATTTGGTAGCTGAGCTGAACCAGACAGTTATAGAAGTGCAGACGATGGATTCAATGATGGCGGAGTAGAACTGTTTCAGCAGCTCCTGTGACAGGTTGAACTTCCTCAGCTGGCGAAGGAAATACAACCTCTGCTGGGCCTTTTTCACAATGGAGTCAATGTGAGTGTCCCACTTCAGGTCCTGAGAGATTGTGGTGCCCAGGAACCTGAATGACTCCACTGCAGTCACAGTGCTGTCCATGATGGTGAGTGGGGGGAGTGCAGGGGGGTTTCTCCTGAAGTCCATGATCATCTCCACAGTTTTGAGCGTGTTGAGCTCCAAGTTGTTGAGACTGCACCAGACAGCCAGCTGCTCGACCTCCTGTCTGTAAGCAGACTCGTCACCGTCCTGAATGAGGCCGATGAGTGTGGTGTCGTCTGCAAACTTCAGGAGCTTGACAGAGGGGTCTTTAGAGGTGCAGTCGTTGGTGTACAGGGAGAAGAGCAGTGGGGAGAGGACGCAGCCCTGAGGAGCTCCAGTTCTGATCGTACGGGTGCTGGATGTGTATTTTCCCAGCCTCACTAGCTGCTGCCTGTCTGTCAGGAAGCTGTTGATCCACTGACAGACGGAGGTGGGCACGGAGAGCTGAGTTAGTTTGGGCAGGAGGAGGTTTGGGATGATAGTGTTAAAGGCCGAGCTGAAGTCCACGAACAGGATCCTCACATAAGTCCCTTGTCTGTCTAGATGTTGCAGAACATAATGCAGTCCCATGTTTACTGCATCGTCCACAGACCTGTTTGCTCTGTAGGCAAACTGAAGAGGATCCAGTAAGGGTCCAGTAATGTCCTTCAGGTGGGCCAACACCAGTTTTTTCAAAAGACTTCATGACCACAGACGTTAGAGCCACAGGCCTGTAGTCATTAAGTCCTGTAATTTTGGATTTCTTTGGGATGGGGATGATGGTGGAGCATTTGAAGCATGAAGGGACTTTGCACAGCTCCAGTGATCTGTTGAAGATCTGTGTGAAGATGGGGGCCAGCTGGTCAGCACAGGATTTCAGACAGACTGGTGTAACACAGTCTGGGCCTGGTGCTTTTTTCCTTTTCTGCTTCCGGAAGACCTGGCGCACCTCGTCTTCGCTGATCTGAATTGCAGGTGTGGGGGAGAGGGGGGTTGCTGGAGGTGTGAATGGTTGTGTGGAGAGGTGTTCAGGGCGGGTGTGAGGTGTTTTTTCAAACCTGCAGTAGAACTCGTTCAGATCGTCTGCCAGTTGTTGATTCTCCACAGTGCTGGGGATGGTGTCTTGTAGTTGGTGATTTCTTTCAGACTTTTCCACACTGATGCTGAGTCACTGGAAGAGAATCGCCTTTTAGTAGAAATAATATCTTAGATCTTAGATCTTAGATCTAATCTAGATCTCTAAGCTGAGTAAAAAACATGACAGCTTAATGAATATATAACCTAATAGATACTTCAAAATTGTTACAGAAGAAATTAGCTGAATGTCGCCATTCTGTGGTGAATTATGTGTATTACTCTAATGCACTTATTTTTATTACACTATTTTTTCTACCCAAGCCAAAATAAAGCCTTTAATTTATTTTTGATTCAAAATTGTGTCCCTCTAGAACAGGACATAATGTTAGAATAATCTAAAATATGACTGACTGAAAAAAGGACTATTAATTTTTATTTGGGGTGATTGCAGGTAAAGTGGGCCACATTTTGTAAAACGTGTAATTTAGATAGCTAGATGTTTTTTTGTTACTTTTGTTAACTTTAATGTCCTGCTATAATATTTAAATTTGAATATGGTTCATATAAAGTGTTATTTGCATGGTATATACCAATAAATATTTTTAGATCATGCACTCCAGAAAAAAATATTCTCAGGTAAAGTGGGCCAGCTGGTCTGGTAAAGTGGGCCATCCCTTATTTATCAAAAATTATTCTGCATCTTAATTAAAAACACATGATTTATTAACACATATTATCAGACAAACGTATTTAACAAATCTAAAAATATATAACAGGTTATGAGTAAAATAAATCATGTGTAAATCCTCATCTCAATTCATGTGTGAAATTCCAAACAACAGAAATATCATTTTCAGAAATCAGAATATTAACAAAATGAACTCTACAATATGCACTCTAAAAAAATGCTGGGTTAAATATAACCCAGAGCTGGGTTAAAAAGGGACAAACAGCTATTGGGTTGTTTTGACCCAGCTCTTGGGTTGTTTTGACCCAGCGGTTGGGTTCAAAACAACCCAACCGCTGGGTCAAAACAACCCAATAGCTGGGTTTGTCCTTTTTTAACCCAGCGCTGGGTTTTTAGAGTGTGTTAAAAATGTGACTATAACACAAGCAACAACAAATAGTCTAATAAAAATAATAATAGGAACATTTAAAATGGTAACCATATGTAAAAATGTTTTGCTGTCTATGTTCACTAAACACTTTAAATGAACTTTAATTGTGTCCATATTTTAAAGCTTTATATTCTGCATCTACATTTTGCTCTTCTCATCCTTTCTTCATTCCACAGATTGAACTGAATGCCTCGACATCCTTTCTATTCTCTCTTTCCTTTCTTCCATCTCTGACTTGAATTTCCTGACTGCAGACTCATTTCTGTTTCCTAAAAAAGTAAATTATACATGTCAACTATAAAATAACCAGTGAATATCAATTTATTTAATGAATTTGTGTATAATAACTGAAGGTTAAAGGTCAGCCCACTTTACCTGAATCCCACTGGCCCACTTTATCTAACACATTCAGCCAAAGTGGGCCAGCACTATTTAAACACCTTACAAGAAAACAAACAAATTTAAAAAAAAAAATGTCTTTGCATTTTATTCCCTGTTAACTGTGGAAACAAAAACAGCAGGAACTGTCCTAATAATATTTGTTTCCATTTAGTGAGCAACCTTATAATTTAATTTAGAAATGAAAATCTTATGTCAAAGGGTTTTCTACCTTTCACCATGACACAGTAATCTTTTGAGGTGTGGCCACACCCACCAGTGTCATATTGCGTCAACCAAAACTATTTTATCATTTAGAGAAACAGTGTCCCTTTAATTAAGAACCATTGTTATGCTCTGAAAGTGCAAACCCATTGAGCACAGTTAAAGGGGTCATATGATGCGATTTCAATTTTTCCTTTCTCTTTGGAGTGTTACAAGCTCTTGGTGCATAAAGAAGATCTGTAAAGTTGCAAAGACTATTCCATCATTCCATCATAGAGAACCTGCACTCTTCCCGAACAAGAGCTGCTGCCGTCAACTAGTCTGACGGAAGAAGCTTCGCCTGACGTGGAATTTCCCAGAACTGCTTGTCATGAGAGATAAAACACTGAGAATCACAAGTAGATTATGCAATATGTAGGGCGAAAATAAGTTGTATGTATGTATGTATGAGCTGTGTGTGAGCTCTTACTTTGAAGGACAGTGAGCTTTAAACACAGCAGCGCTGCTGGAAACGAAAATGTTAACGCTAGCTGATTTCAATGAATAATAAATTATTTTTAACATTACCCTGATAATATAATGAAACAAAAAGATAACTAACGTTGCGGGAAGAATTTACTTAAAGCCTATATATAAGCTAAAGCATTATGAAATATTTGATGCATTAAATATGCCTTGTAATGCGTATTGTATGATCTTGAATTATTATTATAACCACATTATAATACATTATAATACTTATGTTACACCTTTAGAAAGTATTTTTCGTAGAAACAGATAAAAAAAATCAGAAGTAAGAAACCTGCAAATATTGTATTAGCCTACATTTTAACTCTGGTTACAATTATTTATGAAAATATATAAAGCAATACAAGGGAAATTATAAATACCTTTATAATAGTTTATAAATATCATATATTATATAAAGGCTTTAAGTAAGGTGTTACCAAAGTTTCTTATTTTACACTTCTTTATAAAGCCATAAATATAAATCCTAAAATCCTAAAATTATGTTTATGTGTTTAAAAAATACTTATAAGGATATTTCAAATCAATAAAATTTTTCTAATTCTATGGTCTACATGAAAATTTGATTTAGATACTTTACAGAGAATCATACCTTAGAAGCAATCATACTTTGAGATAGAACAAATTAATAAATATTTACATTTATTAATTTAGCAGACAGATAGAAATAGTAAAATAAAGACAGAAAGATCAAAATATGACTAAGGGTTTTAAACCTTTTGAAGTGTCCCATGTATGCTGCTGTCTTCCTTCTGGACCTGAAATATAGTTTGGATGTTTAAGATTTAGTGTGCATTTATCTAGAGGTACAACCTCCAGCCCACCAGTCTCCACCCTTCAGATGACCCTGACAAATAATCACACCTTTTCAAGGTAATTTGCAGCACACATGCAACAGGTGTAAAAGTCAGCAAATTGCACTTTAGAAGGAAGCCATAACCTATGCAAACAGGTTAGCCATAGAAGAAACTATAAGGTATTGATCACAATAGTTATAGTTCTCATTCTCAACTTGGTTTTGTCTTTCATAATGCTGGGATTTAAGGGGCACCACCAATCAAGGTCATTGTCATTGTTTGGAACTGACTGAACTGTTTAGTGTTCTCAAAAAGTTTAATCCTGCTCAAACATTTGCTTTTGCAAACAAATAACAATGGCACTAAACAGAAGGCTGTTCAGTTTTCCATTTTGTTTGGTTATTCAAACAAGTTTTTCCTCCCTAATTACCCTGACAGGCCCCATTTACAGGATGCAAACTGTGAACCTTTTGAATATTTACTTTCCACAAACAATCCTGTATTCTTTAGGACCAAAAAGTACTATGATAAGACTTAAGTGCTTCATTCCATGCATTCTGAAGCCATTCATGTCTTAAATTAAAATTCGGCTTTATGTTATTATGCACAGTCGGGCCTTCACCCTGTTTTTGAACTGGGATAGGTTGCTTTTCCTGCTAAATATATGCACGTGTCTGTCTCAGTTCATTACCCCTTGCAAATGGTTTACAAAACCTTGGACTATTGTTAATCTTACGGTTTACAAAACTTTTAAGTATCCTGAAAATACTTTGGCTTATTCTTTTTGAAAAACGAGTAACCGGCTCACCAACCACAAGCGCAGATGCCAAGGGTGGAAAGATTTTTGTTTCAAAAACTAAGCAATTACCTAATGGCAAAATAGTACCATATCTACTGTACATTAATAGGGTAACAGTAGTCACAACATTTTAAGCATAAGTATTTTTTTTTCTGTAAAACAAAACAAAAATACAGAAATTGGGACCAGAAAGACAATGGTTATAACATCCAGAAATATTGTTCTTTAATCACACTTTATTTATATTATTATGCAACTATATCTAGTATCTAAATGGAATTGGATTAAATGAAATTATCATTAAGCATACTGCTATTATATTTTCATTCATTTACCTCCAGACAGGTTTATATTGAAAATATATGTACAATATTGGCTATATCAAGATTACATATATATTACAGTTAGGATGACACACAAAGATACTTTATCACTATCAAAACACAGCCTACATTGTCATTAGGGGGGAAAATACAAGGAAATTATATAAAGCATTGTGGAAAAATGTGTAAGATAATTATTAATTTCATTTATTAAAGGTCAGACTGAAAAATGAATGTAGAATTTATTTCCTTTTACATAGTGTTTGCTTATTTTCTTCTCTGTATCCAGAAATGACCTGAGGAACCAACACCATTGTACACTGTTATTGTGGAAAATATTACATTAAAGATTTAAACTTTAGTTTTAAGGCTAATGTTAAAGTCTTACCAATTTGTCAGGGTGCAGCTCCTGTTCTCTTATGGAAGATTTTTCCATCGGTCCAAGTTTTGAGTGAGAAAGTTTCATTAATTTGTAGCTTCTTCCCAATCTATGAGATTCAAATGAATGTAAATACAGAGAACAGAACAGTAACATGAACAGCCAGTAGACGACATTAAAAAGTAGTGAAAGATACAGTTCAATGTCACTCTTTCCACTGCTCTCACCTCCTCTGAAAGTTTATTTATGATTCCAGCAGCATTTGGGTCAACTCCATGGTTAGCCTTCACTTCAACCCTCAACATGACTTTAACAGCTAAGTGAAATCAAAAGTCATCAATGTCTCCATGAATAAAACACATTGCTCCATAACCTCACTCACTAAAATGAAAACATTGGCACTTACATCCACAAATGATTCCGGCATCTTTCTCATGGCCACATATGTTTGAAGTTGCATTATATGAACAGCTCATCAAAGTAGGCTCATTCCCAAAACAGTTTACATTATTCATCCAAACCTTTCCTGAACCCATTCCAAAATAGGCAGCACTCTTTACTTCCAAAACTGTCCCACAGCCTAGTTGTTTACACACCACTGCAGCATCTGATGCATCCCATCCATCATCACACACTGTTCCCCACTGACCGGCACGAAGAACCTCTACTCGTCCATAACAGGGGTTGGTGCTGCTGACCAGCCTAACATTATCTATTGCTCACACAAAGGAATAAAGTTTATATATAATGACAACGCGATCATAAAATACATATACAGTCATTTCAGTCTTACATAGACTACACTGTATGCTGTTAAAAGGTTTACACTCACCCTTACAGATGACTCCTGCATCTTTCTCATGTCCACAGCTGCCTCTTCCCCATCCACTTGATTTACAATCTCTTAGTCTTGAGTCAGAGTCAGAACATTGCAAATCACTTATCCATACAGGCCCTGATCCCTGACCGAAATGAGCAGCGCTCTTGGCCTCGATCACATCCCCACAGCCCATCTCTCTACACACTGCTGCAGCATCTGTTAGATCCCAGCCATTATCACACACTGTTCCCCATATTCCATTATAAAGAACCTCCACTCTTCCAGAACAAGAGTCGTGTCCATTTATGAGCCTGAGAGAAGCTAACCGCCACACAAATGAAAGTAAATGAAACAAATTAACTACTTAAAAACATATTTAGGATGTTTTCTCCATTTACAGTGACTATTAATTGACTGTATTTCTTTTTATATAGGTCAAAGTACCGCACACTGCTGCATTAAAGAAATAGTTCACAGAAAAATGAAAATTTGCTTAAACTTCACTCACCCTCAGGCCATCCAAGATGTAGATGAGTTTGGTTCTTCATCTGAACCAATTTCGATATCATTTACTCACCAATGGATCCTCTGCAGTGAATGGGTGCTGACAACAACATCACAATAATCCACACGAGTTCAGTCCATCAATTAACATCTTGAAAAGCAAAAAGCTGCATGTTTGTAACAAACAAATTCATTATTAAATTTTTTTAAAACTTCAATCTGTTGCTTCAGTCTAAAAATTTGAGTCCTTTATCTATAATATTGCTTCTCCGGTGAAAAAGTAGTCTCTTCTAAATCAGTAGCAAAATATGCACAGACCAAGCACCATTTACAAGTGAAAATATTTATAAATAAATAGGTTGGTGAATTTTGAGAGGACAACAGGGGATGGACTTTTTCACTAGAGGAAGCATTATTATAGATACTGGACATTTTGCCAGAAGCAATGGTTTGACACCTTAATGATGGTTTTGTTTCTTACAAACATGCTGCTTTTTGTTTCGCAAGATGTTAATTGATGGACTGGAGTCGTGTGGATTACTTGTGGATTACTGCAATGTTTTATCAGCTGTTTGGACTCTCATTCTGACGGCACCCATTCACTGAAGAGGATCCATTGGTAAGCAAATGATGTAATGCTAAATTTGTCCAAATCTGTTCTGATAAAAAAATTTAACAATTGAAACAAGGAATTGAAACAAACTCATCTACATCTTTAATGACCTGAGGGTATATTTTCAGCAAATTTTCATTTCTGGGTTAACCATTCCTTAAATCACTCTTTTTTTTTTATTTTTTACATGTAATAAAAGAGAGAGAGTGTAGAAAATCTGTGGATTTCACTTACGATCACAGATGACTCCAGCATCCTTTGAATGGTCATGCATTCCCCATCTACGAAATTCACAATCACTGACCATGGTCTCATTTCCAAAACAGTTTACATTGCCCATAAATATTTCTCCCGCACTTTGTCCAAAATAAGCACCACCTATTGCCTCTATAGCATCTCCACATCCCATCTGTCTACACACCACTGCAGCATCTGATAGATCCCAGCCATCATCAAACACAGTTCCCCATTGACTGTCACGAAAAACCTCAACTCGTCCAGAACAAGAGGTGATGCCATTCACCAGTTTGATGTTAACTAATGCCCACAAAAATGTAAGTGTTACCAGTGGACAAAACATGATAAAGTTTATAGTGTGAATTTTATGTACAAGGTTTTGAACTCACGTTGACAGGCTACTCCTGCATCCTTCTCATGTCCACAGCTGTTTTGTCCCCATCCATTTGAATTACAGTTTCTCAGAGTAGAGTAACTGGCACACTGTAAATCACTTAGCCATACGAGTCCTGATCCCTGTCCAAAATAAGCAGCATTCTTTGCCTCTATAACATTCCCACAGCCCAGTTCTCTACACACCACTGCAGCATCTGACTGATCCCAGCCATCATCGCATACTGTTCCCCACCGGCCATCAAAGAAAACTTCAACTCGTCCAGAACAAGAGTTAGTGCCATTCACCAGCTTAACAAGAGCTAAGGGCCAGACAGACAAAAGATTAAGAAACAAGCTGTTAAATATATATTAGTATAGTTAACCTAAATACAGAACAGAATCTTTATTCTATTTTTTCCCACATATTTAAAGGGGTCATCGGATGCAAAATTCATTTTTACATGTTGTTTGAACATAAATGTGTGTTGGGAGTGTTTGTACACATCCACCCTATAATGATAAAAATCCACCCAGTGGTTTTTTGAATCCCTATAAATAATATCCCCTTTCTCAAATCAAGCCATTCTCAGCTTCTTGGCTGTGTGACGTCACACAGACCCAGGCCCCTCCCACGATTGTTGATTGACACTGATGTTTTACCTTAGTCCCACACTGAGTGAGCTGTCATCAGTCCGCCATTGTTTGAACGCCGGAGCAGGGGTAGACAAGAATGTCTCCTAAGCGATTGAGGTGTTTTGTTGTTGGATGAAACAATGAACATAGCAGTCATCATTTACTCCTGACATCTGAGCTGCTGAAGAGAGAAGGGTATAACTGCAGCCTGGAGTTCTCCAAATGGGGGCGGGAACTCCAAAATGGGGTGGGAGCTCCAAAATAGGGCATGGCTTCCTCCCATTAAAAGACAAACAAACGACACGCATGCACAGTTTTTTCCCCCAATCCACTTAAGTGCAAAATCCGCCCCACAGCTGATTCGAAAGATTTTATTGGTTGTGTCAATCAAAGTGCTGATTTCCTACACTATGCTACGAAAAAATGCTAACCCATAAACTTACCCCACACCTGACCCTAACCTTAACCAGTGAAACTGACTGCACGGTGGGATTGGCGCTGAATAGCATGGCAAAGAAAGTTGCAGTTCAGGGGATAATCAGTTAATAAGATAATGCGATATCGCCAAGCCGGGCCGCTCCGTAACTCCCCAACCGGACCTCACCGGACAATTGGGACCTTTTTATTTACACCCAGTGTCACTACCCCCTCCTACTCTGCGAATTTTTAGCCCCGGGATGCCCCCGTTGCTTAGAACAAAGCGATAGAGTAAAAACTTTCCACTGCGCTGCGCTGGGACGGTTCGCGGGAGAGCTCGTGGGTGATTCCCATTTACATCATGAAGCTGCCCTGCGAATTTCGAGCCCCGGGATGCCCCCGTTGCTTAGAACAAAGCGATAGAGTAAAAACTTTCCACTGCGCTGCGCTGGGACGGTTCGCGGGAGAGCTCGTGGGTGATTCCCATTTACATCATGAAGCTGAGGTTCAAACTCCGGTCACTGGCCACGAGCTTTGAGCTCTGCTCTCATGAAGAATATTTATTTATATAGGCATATTTATTTGTATAGCATATTTCATTTTAGATTAACTAGAAACAATGTCTAATTTATAAAGTTTTATTTTGAAATGTAAGTAAATAACAATTGGCTGAAGCCAGAGCCAATGGTGAAAGTCTTTGCGTGAGGAGACCCCGCCCCATTTTGGAGGTTCTGCCCACTTTTGGAGTTCATGCCCCATTTTGGAGATCTCCGGTCTGCAGTTATACCCCGGACCTCACCGGACAATTGGGACCTTTTTATTTACACCCAGTGTCACTACCCCCTCCTACTCTGCGAATTTTTAGCCCCGGGATGCCCCCGTTGCTTAGAACAAAGCGATAGAGTAAAAACTTTCCACTGCGCTGCGCTGGGACGGTTCGCGGGAGAGCTCGTGGGTGATTCCCATTTACATCATGAAGCTGAGGTTCAAACTCCGGTCACTGGCCACGAGCTTTGAGCTCTGCTCTCATGAAGAATATTTATTTATATAGGCATATTTATTTGTATAGCATATTTCATTTTAGATTAACTAGAAACAATGTCTAATTTATAAAGTTTTATTTTGAGATGTAAGTAAATAACAATTGGCTGAAGCCAGAGCCAATGGTGAAAGTCTTTGCGTGAGGAGACCCCGCCCCATTTTGGAGGTTCTGCCCACTTTTGGAGTTCATGCCCCATTTTGGAGATCTCCGGTCTGCAGTTATACCTACTTGGCTGAAGACGCAGTGGATTACTTTTGTTTTTGAAGGGAATGCGACCCTGATCTACCTAAATGCGTCTTATGTTCGCACAAATCATTCGTGATCCAGCTTTACCTACAGAAGAAGTGAGTATAAGGTTCTTTTATGAATCTTTGCAAATCTCCTTATCTAATAACGTGCTAGTTAGCAAGTTTCGCGGCTAAATGCAGCTAAAGTAAACAGTCTCATGAGAACTGCTTGTCACCACATGAAAGAGAGGGGCTGGGTCAGCAGAGCTCATTAGCATTTAAAGAGACATGCAACAAAATGGCTTGCTGTGTGCAGAGCTGTTTTGGCAAGGTAAAAAGGGTGTTGTTTTACACTACCATTGAGAAATTTTAACCAAAGTATGTTATAGACTTTTCATTAAGACCCTAAAGAATCATATCAACTTGTGGAAAATGGACATCCGATGACCCCTTTAATGCAATGTCATCATAAAAGTTATAATGGATCACAGAAGTTTTTCATTTTTGGGTGTACCACACTTGATGTTTTGTTACTCACGTTACAGGGACGGCATACTGACAATATTTTCTTTTCAATATTCTTACATGCATGGCAATGGAACAACTTACATTGACAGATGACTCCAGCATCCTTGTAATGCAAATTGTAATCTTCTGTTTTTTTGGACTCACAGGCAGCAAGTGTGAGCTCATTTCCAACGCAGTTGACATCATTCAACCATACTGGTCCCCCACCCTGTCCGAAATAAGCAGCACTCTTTGCCGCTATAGCATCTCCACATCCCATCTCTCTACACACCACTGCAGCATCTGATAGATCCCAGCTATTATCACATACTGTTCCCAACACAGGGCTTCCCCAGGGATAATAGAAAATCTCCACTCTTCCAGAACAAGCATTGAAGCCATTTTCCAACTTAATTCTGCCTAAATTATGATATAATGAGCGCTGTTGTCAGAGTGGATTATATGATGCGTTTTCTCATTTTAATAGATAAGACTTGTGAGGCAACAGAAATATTGTAGATTATTTACAACCAAATTTATATGCACAGCATTTGTGGCATGATTTAAATTAACCAAATTATATCCACTGGAATTATGTATTACATTTTTAAAAACTGAATAATTCATGCAAGTGCTTGAAATATAAGCAACAAAAATATATGCTTGGTGTCCACTGTCAACTGCATGCCACAAATACTGCATATCACCCTTACCGTTGTGTGTAAAAGATTTTATACTCACTTCGACAGGCGACTGCAGCATCCTTCTCATGTCCACATGAGTTTTGTCCCCATCCTTGCAAATTACAGTGTCTCAGAGTCGTTTCAGAGTAAGAACATTGTACGTCACTCAGCCATACTGGTCCTGATCCCTGGCTAAAATAACCGCCAATCCTTTGCTCGAAAACATCCCCACAGCCCATTTCTTTACATATCACTGCAGCATCTGAATGATCCCAGCCGTTATCGCACACTGTTCCCCACTGACCGTCATTGAAAACCTCCACTCGTCCAGAACAGGAGTGACTGCCATTCACCAATCTGACAAGGGCTAATGTCCGCACAGAGCAGAAAACAGAATCAGAAATAATTATTAATTGTGCTCACACAGCAACATAGCAGCTATTATTTCAAGTGAAATACCAGTAACTTACAGCGACAGATGACTCCAGCATGCTTTGAATAGCCACATATAAACTCTCCCAATTTCTTAGAGCTGCAACTGCTCAATGTAGGCTCATTTCCAACACACGCAATATTGCTCATTAATACATTTCCACTTCCTGGTCTGAAAAAAGCACCACTCTTTGCCTCAATAGCATCCCCACAGCCCATCTCTTTACACACCACTGCAGCATCTAACAGATCCCAGCCATCATCACACACTGTTCCCCACCGACTGTAATAGAAAACCTCCAGTCTTCCAGAACAAGAGTTATTGCCATTTACCAGTCTAATTGATTCGGACGCACTTGAAATGGTATTGCCTAGAACTTCATGTTAAAGAAAAAATATGAAGAGTTAAAAACACTGGCATTATCTGTAAAAATATGCTTGTTTGTGTTAGTATTGCTACTTACTTAGAAATAGAATGAGCCACATGGAGCACAGCATTGTTGCTTGTCACTAACTATATGGACACCACTGGATTTGTCTGGGAAATGACACAAAATTACAAGTACCAGACACTAATATTAAAGTTGACACCAGCGAGAAGTACAAAAATAGATGCTATGTTATATTATCAAAATCCATATGCACAAAGAACAATCACTGAAATTGTATTTTTGAACTGAAATTTTGAAACTCACCAGCAATTTTCACTCATGCTTTTGTTTTTCTGTCCCTAAATTGGCAGGTCCACTCTTGTTAAAGCACATGATTAGAATCAGGCATATTTAAATGTTGAGGCTGCCTCCTACTCCATGTTAGGACATAGAGGTGAGCTTGAGATTGAGGTTGGTTAAATTTGTTTGGCTCTGGTTCCTCCCACTGTCTGACTTCAAAACACCTTTTTACTATAAGTCCAAGAAAGTGAAATCAAACGTGTCTCACATATGAGCATGACATCGAAAAGCAAATGCATTTAAGTACATCAGTACATTCCTGAAGCAAACATAATAAACATAAATTTATTTGAAACATAACATATAGGCTAGTCATATGCAATATATGCAACTGGCATGGCTGAAATGAAGCGTGCCTCATGCCTTGTGCTGCTTTGAGTACCATTCAAATTGCATCTTAAACCTCTTAGATTTGCTTTACTAAGTAAGTAACTTTGCATTTGCATTTTTAATTTGACCACTAATCCCTCATGATTCCAGGTCTTAAATTTCATTTTATCTGAAGTAGTACTTTCGTCTGTCCTTTTACAGAGAATCTACATTCTTCATTCTTGTCATTACAGTCTTTAGGCTAATTAAGGTCTGATTTAATAACCAAATTTTAATTTAACTTATGACCACTGAGATAAAATGTACTTGTAATTTTGTAATGTACTTGTTCTTGTAATACATGCAAAAGAGTTTCATCAGCAGTGACTTAAGCTAATCGGCTATTATTGAAGTGACATGTGGTCAAGTATGGTGACCCATACCTGGAATTAGTGCTCTGCATTTATCCCATCCAAAGTGCACACACACACAGTAGTGAACACACACAAACCATGAACACACATGCCATTTTTTGCTGCGGCACCCAGGGAGCGGTTGGGTGTTCAGTGCCTTGCTCAAGGGTACCTCAGTCGTGGTATTGAAGGTGGGAAAGAGCGCTGTACATTCACTCCCCCCACCTACAATCCCTGCCAGTACGAGACTCGAACCCGCAACCTTTGGTCCGACTCGTCCGACTCTCTAACCATTAGGCCACGACTTCCCCCTATTGTGGTGTCTGTTGTTTTGTTTATGGAGAGATTAGTGCATAATACTACGTTTTATACTACAACTACAAATGTAAATGAATTCTCATTTTGTGTCTGTTTTTATCCCAGAAAGGTGCAGATTCCACATACTCCAAACATGTGTTATTTATTTAATATGCAGTTAACAAATATTAATTGACATATAAACATTTTAAGTTTTGTAAATACTTAAAAATAGTGTTTGATTGTAATGTGTCAATTATTAAAAGTAGTTTAAGACAGCTATATTGACCGTTGTGAAATAAGCACAGTTCCAGATTTTTTTTTAACAATTTAAAAAAAAAAAATTTAACTGTGTATTTGCCAATGTGAAGGCATATCCAATGTGAAATCCATGGCTCACACTAATCAGATGCTTTGAATATTATTCAAATATCATTTAAGGGTTTTAACAATTTGCTCTGCTGAAAGAATAATGCAAAGTACTTTGAATCGGACCACAATGTCTTCAGCCTTTCAATTTTAGGCTACAAATGTATGTGTAATCATATTCAACTCTTGTTATATTAGAACTATACATACAGAACTGTATTATATGGCCAGGCAGTTGTATACTGTTACTAGTATCACAGGGTTCAGATGAAGTTGATGCTTAAACTCATCTTGATGTCATTTAGATCTCATTTTGTAATGTGGTTTGTTTTACTGAGTCCAACTACTTTTGATATAAAATTGTGAATGATGAGAGGCAAAAAAAACATGACATTAAGAGAACATTTATTATAGAAAATATTGTACATAAAAAAGTTTAAAGAGTCAACTGAACTGACTGACTGATTTGTGGCTAAATGTGTTTGCTTTCATATATTTGTTTTTTTATTAAATATGCCTCTGTTTCTCACAAAATGTATTGTATGGAAGATTTCAGAAGACTTTTATAGACTACTTTTATAGTGCTTTTTCGAGCTTAACAATATAAACAAGGCAACCACTTTCACTGTATACAAAACAACCGCTTGGACATTCTGTTAAAGTTCTACTTTTTACTTTGTGCAAGTTAGCAAATTTTGAACTATTTATTAAAAGTGATAAATGCATACTTAAAGAGGTGTTTGTATATGTTATTCAAACTCAGACAGGCCTGCTAAGCTGAACATCTGAGTCTTCATTGATCAGATAATTGCAGAAATAATTGAAGGGTAATTAAAATATGAATAATTTAACCCGTTTCTCAATGTAATAGTAACAAAACACATTTTTAATTTAACAAAAGTATGCCTCATTTATTGTACCTACTGACATTTGGCCGTTTCTGCATGATCTGATAACCAGGAGTGTTATGTGTTGCTCAGCCTCCCTCAACACTAACAAACCTGATCAAGACAGAGAAACACAAGAGAGAATGTTTGACATTTTCTCTTACTTTCTTTCTGTATTGGATTGGGCTGTGAAGTTTGAGAGGCTTTAGGATGATCATGTGACACAGATTGTTCTGGCCCTTACTGTTGTATGGAATCTGGTGAGTATGAGTTGCTGCTTTTCTTTTTGTGTTCTCCTTAACGTTCGTCAGGTTCTATGGCCTAGATATGCGAGCCACTCCGGGCTCTTCTGTTCTCTCGCCCTAGCTTCCACAACTGGGCAGGGATTTGTAAGTCTAAACTAAAAGTGAGGACCGATTTCAGTAGATCTCATCATTTAGCCCTTAATTGTTTTTAGGGTTATATTCGACCAGTAGATGGCAGTATTTAGGTATTCAGACTTTATTTTGCATACTCTAAGATACTTGGACAAGCTTGGACATGGGTTACATCTAAAAAAGGCCTCATGAGAGATCTATCACATTTTAGCATGGACCTGCAATAAACAACTTATCTACAACATTTGCTGCTGAGCTTTAACACTACAACCCAGTTTTAAGAGACCAAAAGTCAGTAAATAGTTTTCTTGTTTAGCAAACTTCAGGATTTTAACTTTTACAACTTGGCATTATGAAAAAGTAATGCGAGAAATGCATTTCTATGTGTGTCTGAGGGTAGATATAAATAGAAGTGCTCAACCTGATAAGATGAGTGCTATTCTGAGAACCACTGAGCACCTCTCTGGTCTGGGATTGCCACTGTAGAATGCATTGCTCTGGACATAAAGGTCAGAGGTCACCAGCGATCCTGCTTGTGTTGTGGGAATTCCCAGTGCAAACATGGCCTCACTGCACAGGAACTCTCGAATGCTGGAGCGGAGCACTTTACGCCCATCAGATTGCCTACAGTACAGAGATACTGAAACCTAATTTTTTTAAAAACAAAGCACATGGAAATTTTTTACCCATTGTTGTTTGGTGTGTGTGTGTGTGTGTGTTTTTTTAACAAGCTTTATTTTCCTTCTGTATGACAACTGCGTGTGTCATTATGGGATTTAAGGGGATAGTTCACTCAAAAATGAAAATGTATCATTTGCACACCCTCAAGTGATTCCAAACCAGTACGAGTTTCTTTTTTTTCTGTGGAGCACAAAAAAGTGATATTTTGAAGAATGGTGGAAACCAGCAACTGTTTGGTTACATTCTTGAAAATATCTTCTTTTGTGTTCAACAAATTTCAAGGTATGTGAATACATATATTGTTATGAGTTAAGAGTGGATTTAGGCTCATTATTCATAGTGAAAGAAAGATCAACTTGAGTTAGACCACAATCTAGCTATTGTTAAGATTGTAAAATCCACATACAGCACATAAGTCATGTTGTTAAGAATTACTCTGGAAAAAAAAACTTTTGGAGAGTGAAATGGAGTGCTTTGTATCAACAAAAGCTTTTTTTTTTAAATACTGCAAGAAAAGTATATGATAATCAGTGAATCAGATATTTAGTAAATAGAGTGAGATGCATTTAACAATGGCACAATCTTTACAATGTTATTTAGTATTTTTGTCTTCTGAAAATATGCATTTTGTTTACACAAAATATTATAAGCCTATACCTACTTACATGCAAATATAAATAAATATTAAAACTTTTTAAAGCATTAGTGATGGCTAAAAGTATATATATTTAATTATATTTTTTAAATAAAAATGGCATTTCTACACTCTAAAAACTGCTGGGTTGTTTCAACCCAACTTTAGGTCAAATATGGACTAACCCAACCGTTGGGTTAAATTTTTTAATTAAATTTTTAACCCAAAAGTTGGGTTAGTCCATATTTGACCCAAAGTTGGGTTGAAACAACCCAGCATTTTTAGAGTGTATGTAATATGTTTATACATAATACATTTCTTATTTTTAACAAACCATTTATTCACTCATTCTAACCCTAACCATATAGTAAAGTAGTTAATTAATATTACTCAGTACTGAAATGCATAATTAAACTGTAACAATGACACCGTGAAATAAAGTGTATAATTACATTAACACTTAGCATAATGCAGTGAAACCAATGTAATGGTACCGAGAGTAAGGCGTCAGTCCAGCGCCTTTAACCTGAATTTCCCACCGACCACAGGGGCTTCTATTGGTCAGGTCAGAACTATGCTCAGTACCGGCCTCCACCTCCCCCAAATAACACACAGCACCGTCAGCCAGCTGCCCGGTGAACTGGCCAAACTGATATACGCAATAGCAGTGCGCAGCGGGCTCGGAGCCTGGAATCACCCGAGAGTCGCTCAGATATTCAGCCCCGTACTGGTCACGTAAAACATCGTCCACGTTCAGTCCCAGTAAAGCGAGAGCCGGTGTACCGACGAAACATGCTACCTATCAGATTATGCTACCAAAAATATATTTGCATTGTTTTAAGGGTAAGTTTAGGGTAAGGGTATGGACGGGTAGGTTTAGGGTAAGGGTAGGTAGGCCTATGGACACATGAATAAGATGCTGGTAGCACAATCTGATAGGTAGCATTTTTCGCTATCGATTTGTGCTACCTATCTTTTTAATGGGAGGTAGCACAATCTGAGCAGGTAGCACAAATCGTCAGTACACTGGCTCGGATATCGCGACGAAGGTTGACTTGAGCAGCAACTGCGACTGGACACGGGAAAAACATGCTCCTGTCACGGTCTGTGAGCCGGTTCTAGTGACGAATCCAGTTTTTTCAATGCAACGTTGTTGAACTTTAGTCTTTGCAGTGGTCTATCACTGAAATTCTGTAAAATTTACGGTAAAAAAACCCGGCAGCTGTGGTTGCCTGAATTTTACCGTAAAAAATACAGTAGCAACATTTTAGGTTTTAATGGTTTTAACTTAAATTTACATTTAAATACCGTAATTTCATTAACTGATATAATGTTAATATACCAACCTATATTGAAGTACTGAAATCTGTTTTGTACCTTTGTAATACACTGATAACCACCAAAAGCAGGTGGTGATGAGAAAGTCACACGATGAGCTATCATGAAACACATGAAACATGAAACACATGAAAGCTAACACTATAGCTTACTATTTTTTCTATTCAATCTACTTATTTTTCTATGTGTGTGTGTGTGTGTGTGTGTATATATATATATATATATATAAATACCTTATATAAATACTGCGTTAGGCTAACCGAGACTTGTCATTTGCACTTACATATTGTTGCTCTTTTGTTAGTTTTGAATGCTTCTATTGTCCTCATTTGTAAGTCGCTTTGGATAAAAACATCTGCTAAATGACTAAATGTAAATGTAAATGTAAATTAACCAAAGCCCATCACAAGCAGCTTTTAAATATTAACATTTATTGAAGCTGCACAGTGTCATTCACACAAACACTAAACACCATCATGGTAACACACAAAACTAAAATAATGCAATAAACATTAATTTAACAACATTAGATGTAACATACAACCCTAATGTACAAAACTGATAAGAAAAAACTAAGAAGAAACAGTTATTTCAACAAAAAAAGCATCACATTTGAAATGTAACGCAGGGAATTCAGTCCGTATACAGTCAGTATACAGTTTTTCACCTTATATAGTAGGAAACTTACCATTAACCATTTAACAGGTTTTTACTGTAGAATCTATCTATCTATCTATCTATCTCTTCTTATTACCATGCACCATCTGCAGTAATAAATTTTACAGCAAGAGTAGTCTGAAGGATCTAATCATAGTTGTTTGCAGGTTAAAATTGAAATAAATTTCAATCCACTACGTGGCAGACCATTAAAGAGGCAGCACTGACTGTCCCAGATCCCAATCATTTATCACTCGTTTGTAATTGCAGCAGGGGTTGTGATAAAGAAATACAGACTATCATAAATAAGCTTGTTTGAGATCGCAGATTGAGGTTTGGTCAGCTACCTTTCGGGAGCCAAAACATAAAATCAAGTGTCTATCCATTTTAAAAAGCACAATAAAATGCACCGTTTTGCTTCAAACTCCCAACCAGACGCAGCTGTGTTGGAGCTGTGGTTTTCAATGTGGATTGTCCACAAAGTTAATAGCTGCTGGCATGCAGTTGTTCAACACATTTTTTTACATGAGAAGATAAAAATGACATTTCAATTCATGTTTTTACTTTTACGCTTCGCTGCTCTTCAAACTCATGCGATTAATTATTTGACAGCAAAACAATATTTATATAATCAATGTATAATTACAATTACCTGCCGGTAAAGCATTCAAGAGCAATTGCACTCCACAATCAGTGTAACATCTCTAATGGGCCATTAATAGAAAAAAGTTTCTTACCTTTCATACATTTCTAACCTTTTATACATAATATTTCAGGCAGTAGTGGAAGCTAAATGGACTATTGGACAAAAACACAAGTCATTCAGAGTCATGCAAAATTTAATTATATATAAGATAATGCACATTTTTTACTCTATCTTAAACATTCAATCTAACGTTTATGACACACTTGCAGTGTTCATTGTTGCATTTGTCCAAAAAATGTTTGCTGGTCTCTTCCACAAAAAACTGATCTGAACTCAAGAAACTGCAGTAAGTATATGAAAGCCTAGATGAGGCAAATTCATGATGATTTTTTTTTTCAACATGCTTGTCTTCGCAGTCTGGGCGAAAGACGATTGGCAAGCAGACATGCGAGGGCTATACCTGCCACCTGGGTGAATGCAAGGCCCAGGACTGTTGCTGCAATATGAAAGATGTTGTCATTTACCAAGCTGAAGACTTTGCGGAAACAACCGTAAGCATGAATCCCGGCGAGCTCAATGTCGCTGAATACACTCTTTGGCAACAGCCTATTGCGACAGCCTTTGCGTTTTATACAGCAACTGTCTGGCAACGACACAGTGGAAGAATCATTCCCCAAACCTCCTGTTGAGTAAACAGTATCTTGAATAGCCCAATCGGACATGAGCCAATCGCGCCAACCCTCAGCGCCACAGCACTCAAGCGCCCTCTGCAGGCTGTCAAGTGCATCTGCGTGGCCCTCATCTTCTCCATAGACCAACACAGCTTTCTTAAGCCCACTACGGAAACCTTCGGCAATATCCTCCCTGTAAAAGAGCCCCGAGAGACTCACCGCTAGTCCACCCATGAGTGTAGCCAACTGGAAGAAACCGTATGCCCGCAGAAGGTAGGGAAGTTTGGCAGCTACTCCCAAACATCCCAAAAAGCCCCAAGCGGTCACAGCAGCACCTGTGCCTAACAAGATGATGGGCGCGTTTGGGTAGCGGTTCGCCGAGAGTAGCATGTAGTCGGACAGCGAAGCCTGCGCCCAGACCCCTAAGGTGAAGATCGCAAGGCCTGCTGCCCAAAAAAGGAAGCTGAAAATCAGGAGCGCAAGGCGCAGCAAGGGCATGACTCCCACCGCCCGGCAGCATGGTGGAGCAGCATCCACTGCAGGCACAGGGGGCGCCAGCGAGGCCTCTGAGCACAGCGATAACGAAAGACGTTGCTGTTGGTCAGCGTATTCTCGGGAGGGTGAGAGCAGATATCCAGGGAGTGCTGAAGGCCGTCGGGAAACGGAAGTTAGAGCCGGTCGAATTGGGGACGACAGTCTTTGAGCACCATGCAGCTCTCTTTCCCACTCTTTTGCACGGCAGGAGCTTGGCCGAGCTGGTAGCGAGTCGTAAGGCGGTGCAGAGCTCATGGCCCCGTCTTGCGCTTTATCTACCACCATTTCACTCTCTCTCTTTTACTCCTCCCTTTGTTTCGTCCTTCCTCATCTCTCCCGCCTGTGTTTTACGGCCAGTCATCAACCCACCAGGGCCTATTCACACCCTCGTTTCACCATAAATCGTCTTTGGATGAACGCATGGCACGCTTATCTTCGCCTGCAGATTCTCTGCCCTCTCTCCGATGTTTATTTGCGACATTTCTTACACTCTCTTGATGCTGCTGCAATGACCGTCCGACTACACTGCATCTGTGACGATATGAAGGGGGGTCTGTGATTATATGGCTATGATGCTGTTAACCCACACCGCCCTGATCTCCCTCTACTGGTGCAGGAGCCACCGGTTCAGGATCATAAATGTCTGTTCTGATCGATATGTGGCCTTTATAGGCCTTTAATAATCTAATGTCTTTACAACATTGGTATTGATTCGTTTTTTAGATTAAATCACATTCATGTTATGTGTGTTGGTGCATATTCAAGGACACACTTTGTAGGTCTTTAAACAGGATTGAATGACATGTATGTTCAATTTGATTTGACTTCATTGGCACATTCACTATTAAAACACATAAAACTTTTAAACAGCATTGAAAGAGTTTACATGTATGCTGACTTGTTGGCTGCTTTTCCCTCATTATCAGGTCCAAAAATATTTTAATACATAACAATTAATTTCTTTTTAATTCTAAAAATATTTGTAAGAAATAGTCATACACTCTAAAAAATACTGGGTTGTTTTAACCCAACTTTGGGTCAAATATGGACTAACCCAACTTTTGGGTTAAAAATGTAATTGAAAAATTTTACCCAACAGTTGGGTTAGTCCATATTTGACCCAAAGTTGGGTTAAAACAACCCAGCATTTTTTAGAGTGTATGCAGGCATAATGTACATTTGATGCATTTAAGCACATAAAAAGGAAGAATGACGTTTGACACACCTTCACTTTTTCTCTTGCTGTGGTCCATGTACTCCAGTTCATCCAAGCCATGTAAAACAGCAAAAAACAAAGTTAGGCCTCAATACTCAGGTAAGATGACGACACATCATCAAGACACAGTATAAATTCTCTAACCTCCTGCCTTGACAACTTATAGCACAAATTAAAAAAAATTTCCCCCATAATAAATGTAATAAATGTGCCATAATAATCATTTGTATTTCTATTTATCTTATGCACTTTGTCACACTCCAGCCAGACTTTGCCTTTTGCGAACACACACACTCACAGAAGTAATCTCAGTAAACACACACACTCACAGAAGTAATCTCAGTAAACACACACACTCACAGCAGTATCTCCCTTAGCAGACATTTGAAACAGCTTGGGAAATGTGACCCCCCTTTTCTGGAGCACTATTCGTCTCCTTCATCACATCATTCCCTCCTTCCATGGAACCCTTTATTGTCTCCCCCTCTACTTAATGTGTTTATGAATGGAGGTGCTTCTCAGAAATAACATCTGTCAGTTAAAAGCAGTGATGGACTCTGGGAAAAGCGAAAGAAAAGAACAGAAAATAGAAGAGAATAGAGAAGAGATACAATATTGTGATTGATTACAGTTTCATTGTAACTGTGCGTACTGTATCTTAAGTTACTTATGACTCCTTGAAATTATGTCAGTTATGTTATCAGTAAATCGGAAATATGTATCCAAATGTCTTCTGTTTTCTAATGTGTAGCCTATTTGCTGTTACACTGTTTGATAGTACTTACACTTGAGCCAATTCCTTGTGGACAAAGTTGTACTTTACTTAATGCCATGAACACTTTAATCACTTGCAAAGATATAAATGGGCACATTTTGTTTTACAACAGGTGACAGCGCACCCGTTCTCCGCCAGACCTGATGCGGTGTCGTGCACGGTCAAACATCTTAAAAAAGCGCGGAATAAAGACCTCCTTCCGGCTACTTCCGGTATCCCAGTTCAGCGTTGTTGTTCGTTGCTTCGGTCAACTTCATGACAGTCGTTCGCCAGTGCGTTTAATGCTATTATGGTTTAATTCTGTGTCACGAGGCGTGCAGAGTTTGATTAAAAGACAAAAATCGATTTATTCTAACCTTAAATAATGGAAATCCTTAACGTAGAGAGTCGCGAGGCGGGTGAGTTTTATTTAGCTTGTGAGCTAAATGCTAAGAGAGTGAAGCTAGCACAACCAATCCTATTAAAGTTACTCATACACACCACACAACTCAGAACACATTTGGTTATATTATTTTTTAAGAGCGGCCCGGTAAAATTATATATTTTTTTTTAGTTCTTTAACATTATTCGAACTGTATTATTGTTGAAGAATATTTCTAAAAAGTGTCCATGATGAATAATGACAGAATACATGTATAATCTAGTTAGATCCAAGCTCTATTGACATTATTCATTAAAACAAGATTTAATTTGCTTTGTGATTAATATTTAAGAGTAGTTAAAGTTATATTTACTGTACTATAAAGACTCTTTACTGTACTATAAAGTTCTCTTTGTACTATATTATTATTATTGAGCCATGTAGATGTTGTACCCCACCTGTTACAGATTAACTTGCTTAGAATTAACACAACTATAAACCTGATTTCTTCAAGTGTTGTTAAAAAAATTGTAACACATAAATTGATGTAAATGCATTAAAATTCAATTCTTTAAAACAAGAATTAGATTTTTAAATCAAACAACAATTAAATGCATCATAATAACTTCAGACTTATCAGACTCGTCATTACTATCAGAATTATTAAGATCTTTTGATATTATACTCTGATATTTATCTGCACTGTCTTTATTTCCCCCAAGCTCTCCCTCTCTCTGCACTGCGTCTGGTTGTGCCGCCTCTTCGGCTGATGTCAGCGTTTCTATGGCAGGTGGTTCAGCGTCGTAATGTGATACAGTACGGGAAGCTGGAGCAATTTGTGGTGCTGGTGACCGAGACCGTGCCAGACATCATGAGTCTAAGTCTGGTTAATAAACTGATCTTTCACCTGCGGAAAAAGGTAGTCATAATTCAGCTAAATATTTAATATACTTTTTTAAAAATATTGTACAGTCTGAGACAAGTAACATGGGATTTTTTTCTTTTAGGTGATATTGGAGCTTTGTTTAAAAGATCAAATGCCAGATCTGTGGATCATTCAAGCTCATCTGGATTCTCTTCGAAATCTCACACATAAAGTAATTAATGTTGCTTTTGTAATTGCACTAACCATATACAGAAATTCTGTTTTAGCAAGTTATCAGTGTCTTGTTTTTTTGCTTTCAATTTGTTCCAGTGTAAAGATGTGGAAAGTGAGATCATCAATAACAAATTTATCAGAATGGTGCACAACATTTTAGAGGACGCAGAAAAGAAAGAGAATTTCATCCAGGTTAGATTTGTTTACCTCTTTCTTGTCTTTTAGTGCATCTTTCCTCTTCACATTTCTGTGAGGTGAATGAATAAAGCAAGCATGAAAATGTTTTTCCATGTTTTACCCCTGTCTCTTTGTCTTCAGCATGTCTTCCCTGTAGAATATGGATCCGGATTTGATGCAGTATTACAGAGCCTTGCATGGGAGTTCCTGTCTCGAGTGGAAGATCTGCTGCCGGTGCCCAACCTGAAAGAGGTGTGTCCTCGATGAAAGATTGAAGAAAATGGTCCATCTACAATAATAAACCAAACATTTTAAAATGAAAGGTAAATCTGATTTGAAATCTGATGTCGACTTTCTCAGACAGCATCGCGGCTTTGCGGCGGTCTCTCGATGATGGAGGAGATTGTGCAGCCACTCTCAGATCCAGCTGAGATCAAGGATGTTCTCCAGCATTTCAAAACCAAAAGACTGCACACAAGAAACAATGAGCAATCTCAAAGAGTTATCAGTGAAAGTGAGCTTTACTGTTGCTACTGAACCATATTTTGTTTGCATCTGTTGAATAACTAAAACAGTGAGACATTTAATTGATAATTAATTCATATGACACTTTCAAAACATATCTGGGTCATATTTCGCCCTAAAATCGAAGAAAATAAGAAGAAAAAAAAACCTTATTCTGAAAATAAGCTTAATTTGATGATTGTGTTTTTTTAAATATACATTTATTTATCAATAAAAAAGATTATTTGTTAGGACCCTTGAGGGTTTTTTTTTTTGCATTGAGATATTATTTTAAGACAGTAAGGCTAATTGTAATTTCTAATATTTATTATTTTGTGGTGAAATGTGACCTTATGATATGGTTTTAGTCAACTATAATAAGATGTTAAGACATCTAAGTATTTTTCTAAGGTTTTTTTTCTCTTTTGGTCTGTACAGAGTCCATTCCTTCTACAGCTGAAGTAGTTTGTTTGCCTCATCCAATCGCACAAGAAACTGTCTCGCCTACCATTACCATTGAACATGAGGAAACTTTGCCCCCCACCTCCATTGCACAAGAGACAATTATCAGTGAATCAGAAGGCACAGAGAACCAATCACAAACAGAATCTGATCATGCGGCCATCGCCATAATGAGCCCTTCTCAAAGTTACACAGAAGAGGCTGAGCCTTTAGCGGACAGCGAGGAGTTCACAGCAATAGCTGCCACTGAAGAAGCAGAGGAAGGCTTACAACAAGAAGAGGTACTATGTGAAGAGAAAGACTCGGGCGTCTGTGAAGTCCAGCAGATCTACCTGACCACAGACGGCTCTACCGTGGTGGTGTCAGAGTTTGAGAACGAGGGAGAGGAGGCGACTCAACTGCAGTTTCTAGAGCAATCAGAGATAGTGGAAACGTCTGGTGTGAGGCAAGTCAGTTTAGAGCAGTGGATCTCAGAATTAACTGGAAAGGGCATCTCTCTACCAGTTTTGCCTCCAACTCCTGTTGAGATTGTGAGGGAGGAGACCATCTACGTTCCTGTCATAGAAAGACCACCGTCTGTGAAGTCTATCATCCACAGAAAGAGCAGTCCGCCTCGAGCCGCAGTTTCCAAAAAAGCAGCGGCCACTCCTTCTGAGTCCCAGACAACGCAGGAGGAGAAAAGACACAGCTG